AAGATGAGGGGCCAGGGATGTAGCTCAGCAGCACAAGCTCCTGCCTGGCAAGTGTAATGCCGTGAGTTCGATCCCTGGTACCAAAAAACAAGTAGTGAAGATGAGTAACCAGCTAATGCTGTCCTGATGTTACCTGCTGCCTCTGAGGACCCAGGAGGAAAACCAAGGTCGTGGTGACCTGCTCACAAGAGGCAAGTGTGAGCCCAGGAAGTGTCTACTCCCCTGCCTTCCCAGGGACGGTCTGGCACGATGCACAAATGAATGGCTGAGATGCTTCCTCAGAGCTCAAACCTAAACTATCTTTCCTACTCTTTACCCAGGCAAGTCCCTTCTTCTTTTCCCCCATAAAAAAGTCTCCCAGAAAAGAGGTTATTTCATAACCCTTAACCTTCACCCCAGCATGACTTATGGTATGAATAGGAACTACACTGACTGTCACAAGCTTATGATCTCACAGTGACCAGTCTCCATCAAAGGGCCTGATTCAATCTACAGAGAGCTATTCTGGTAACTCACTTCACCATGTGAGGCAAAACAGAACCACCTAACTAAATAGGGTAATGTGGAATAGTAAAAAGGAATTGAGAATGCTTATTAATACAATCATAAAATCACAGTTTCATTTCTAGAAATCCCAAAATGAATTAATCACAAGGCTCTCTTTAAGTCAAACCTCTCTCAAAGGCATGCTGAAGGCCAACAAATAAACCAGATCTAGTCTCCAACCCTGACTGAGGTCTGGTTGGGGGAACAGTTAAAAAAAAAATCAACTATGACTCTGAGACAGGAGCTGTGATCTTAGAATGTGTGAGTCTATGAAAAATGATGAGGACTGAAAATACGACGTGCACATACAATGGGATCAGTCCCTAAAACGGAAGGAAATTCTGATACATTATATAACATGGATCAACCTCGAAGACACTGTGCCAACTGAAATAAACCAACCAAAAATGGCCTAATGCTATATAATTCCGCTCACATGAGATGCTAGAAAAGTGCGTTTCAAGCCAGGTGTAGTGGTACATGCCACATCATAGCACTCAGGAGGCTGAGGCAGGAGGAGTGCTATAGGTTTGAGGCCACCTGGGCTACACAGTGAGCTCAAGAACAGCCTGGACTACACGGTGAGCCTCTGTCTCAAAAAACCAAACCAAACCAAATCAAACCAAACCAATAAACAAATAAGAAATAAGAAAAAAAAGGAAATTTCATAGGGACAGAAAGTAGAATGATAGAGGACAGGCTGGGGGGTGGGGAGTTAGTGCTGATAGTTTCAATTTTGCCAGATTAATAAGAGTTTTGGAGGATAAAGGCACTGATAGCTACAGAATAATATAAATATACCTAATGTCACTGAAGCATATAACTACATATTTACCATTTTAACCATTTTTAAGCACATTGTAATTCCAGCTATTCGGTAGGCTAAGGCATGAGGGTTACAAGGCTGAGGCCAGCCTCGGCAAAAACCAAAAGGGTCTGGGGACGTAACTCAGTATGAGTGCCTATACCGCATGCCTGTGGGCCTCCAGTACGATAAGCCCAAAAAACCCCAAAACCAAAATACAAAACCAAATGAAAAACCACGACAAGCCAGGGACTAGGAGTGCTCCAAGAAATAAGCAATGCTAGGACTAGGAAAGGCTACACCTGAGCATACTGTGCAAGGTAACAGGACTGAAAAATAACCACCGCTCCAACAGGAAACTGAATGAATGAAGGCTGGGTTTTCCTGGATTCATTAAAGCACTGATCAGATTCTGGTTTCAAGAATGGCAATATTTACTGACACACAGTTTTTATGGCTTGGGAGCTGAGGTGTTTCTGAATAGAGTAAGGCCTATTTGACCAGACTTCACATAAGTAAAAAAACATTGGACTTTTCAAGATTGGAAAAACAGTGTAATCCATCCCTCTCCCCCATGACGGAGCCCCCTCTTCCACATCCTTGCTTCTCTGACTGCTGGTATCCAAGCTTTAGAAGATAGGATGTTACTTGAAAAGCCTAAGTTATTTGCTGTAGTAAATAATGAGTGTGAATTAATTCCTGGTGAGTCATCCAATAACATCACAAGCCATCCTAATCTTCTTAGGATACTACCTGCTCCTCAGTGATACGCCTGGGGAAGCAGCATACTAGTGGTCTAGAGTCAGGGTCAGAAAGGTTGCACCCCTTTGGATAAATGAGTGGCTCCTCATCTGCATAATTTTCAGTGCACATTATCGAAGAGGCAGGTCCTCATATAAAACAGCAGGTCTTGCTCAGAAGGCTGGCCTGAGAAGTGGGGAGGGGTGTGATTTCTGGCAGGAATACAAGCTCCAGGGAGACTTTCGGGAGAGCAGTTACCTAGACAGAGATTCTAGGTGTTGGTTACTAAGAGGGAGACTAAAAGACTGTGGGGTCTGGAAGGACAGGAAAGTAGGCAGTCTGGTAAGGTCTGTTAACTCAGCCTGATAGTTCCTTTTCCTGTTATCATCCCCAACCCTTCAACAGAGCCAGTGTGACAGATCCTTTTCATCCATGGGCCAGAATACTAATGAATTAGCATGGAGAGAACAGAGTGGTGGGGAGACCAGTGAGATTCCATAACGGAAGGAGAAAATGAAGGATCAATAACAAAGATTGGAGGTACCCTTCATCTCAAGAAATTCTTCTACTAGGTCTTTTGGTGAGGCTGGAATTTACTATTATTAGGAGCTTAACAATTACAACTATTAGGGATTATCACTCTTAATCATGAAGCATTTAATAATTTTTCCTAAGAGCATGGTACCCCCACCCCGCCATCCGGTAACCTCTGGGAGGTGAGGCAGGAAGATCAAGACTTTTAGCCCAGCCTGGGAAACTTTCTATTAAAAATTTTAAAAGGTCTGAGGACAGCCAGGCGTTGTGGTACATCCCTATAATCCCAGCCCTTAACAGGCTGAGGCAGGAGGATCGCTGAGTTTGAGGCCAGTCTGGGCTAACGCAAGTTCAAGACTCGTTTGGACTACATAGTGAGACCCTGTCTCAAAATATAAATAAATAAATAATAAAATAAAAAGACCTGGGAATTGCAGCTCTGCACGAAGACCCTGGGGTTCAATCCTCAGTACCTCCTTCTCCCCCAAAAAAGCATGGCAAGAATTCCCAGCTCAAATCCCATTTGGAGGGGTCCAGTGTACTTATTTTATCTCTTGAAGGAGAAGCTAACATATGGAAACTCTAAGCTCAGAACCAATCTGACTGAAAAGATGAGAATTTTGCAGATTGTTTATCAGTGATAAACTGAGGTTACATTGGTAGCTGATAATAATCTTGAGATAAAGCTGGCAAAAATCTCATAAAATCAAATAATTGGTCCTATAAAAACAAAATGAGGATAAAAAATGAGACCTGTAGTGTCTAGAGGGTAAAGAAGAGAACACCAGCAAGAGCTGCTTTGAAAAGCTCGTTATGTCACAGAAGCATCTTAGTGAAGGGCTGTTGCCAAGCATGAAATGAATAATAAAACACTCCAGGCTCTGGAAATCTCTTCTGGAGAATGAGCTGGTTAAATCTATACAAGTGGGTGAGATAGTGGAATGAGTAAAATATAAAATAGTCATTCAAAAAGGAATCAATAGGCTGTTGTATCGGCTTATTTTTGTATCACAATACTTAAGGCTGGACTCTTACGAAGAAAGGCTTTGTCCCCTAGTTTTGGAAGCTGAAAGTCCAAACAGAACTTGGCTCTGACAAGGGACCCTTTAACTGTGTCACGCCATGGCAGAGGACACCACAATGGTGAAACTGCATATAGGAGGAAGGGATCGCATCTGGACAGAAGCCTGAGAACCTGTTACAACAGCTCAATCTTGAAGAACTAACTCAGAGTACCAGGAGAGCTATCTAAACTCCTCCCAGTGACCTGATGACCTCCCAAAAGGCCCCACCACCTCAACGCCACCACATAGAGGACCAAACTTCCAACACATACACCCTTGGTGGATACACTCCAGTCATACCCAAACTGTCCCATGACACTTCGGGGTTTTTTTGTTTTGTTTTGTTTTTTGAGATAGCATCTCACTATGTAATTTAGGCTCGCCTTGAACTTGTGGTGATTCTGTCTCAGCCTCCTGAGTGCTGAGATCATAGCCATGTGCCACCACACCTGGCTTGTTTTTAGTGTAAAAATTAAAATCATTTGGCCCAGAAGCTTTTTTCTTGTCTAGCCTTTATTTCTCTAGACCTTTCTACTGCAAGCTCAGCTACACAACCATACTAGCCTTAGTTCCTCCATACAAGATTTTCAGGCACGCAATTATCTCGAAGTGCTACACTTTTCACTTCATGCACTTAATTTCAATCATTATCTAAGTCAAATCAATAATCATTTCTTTAAGGAACCTATCTTTTGGGCCCTGAGACAAGGTTGAATGTGTTACTGTTATGTTAGGGCCTACCATCACAAATATTTTTTTTTTTGGTACTGGGGATCAAACTTATGACCTCGTACTTGCCAAGCAGGCGCTTACGCCGCTAAGCTAAATCCCTGGCCCCAGCGTCACAAATACTTTCTTCATAATACTGATTAAAGCTATCATTGTACTCATGTGTGTGCTACTTTAATACTCATCTTTCTCACTACAGAGTAAACTTTATTTGAGCAAAGACTACATTTATTTTATATTTAAATCCAGCACATAGCGCAGTGCCTAGGCACAAAGTCGGCACTTAAAAACTATTTGCTTCAGCACCACACACACAGACAAAATGCATCTGCTAATGATCATCAACTCCCTGCTGAGTAAAGTGGTTGTTTCCTATAATGGCTCTGAAGTTAAAAATTCCAGGCTACATCTGAGACCTGGCTTTCTGAGTTTTAAGGAAGGAACCATCATGCATACCACCACACCTTAAAAGACTTTACATAGCTTATCTCATTTCTTAGTGCCGTGTCCTTCCATCAAGCGATGTTAGTCTGAACACTAGAGATGGCAGGAGAGAGTAGTAAGACCCCAAGTCAACTCACCCCTATTGTAGACGCCATGTAGTCTGCACACATTTCTGCAAAGTCTCGCTCAAGAACTCCATAGTAGAGGCCACAGAAGAGGAGAGAAATACCAAAGTCCATGGCATCTTCTGGTTTAATCCTGTAAGGGAAGCAGCACGGCCAGTAAGGCCTGCCCTGAAACACGACTGCTGGAATACTACTTTGGGACACACAAGGCAGAGCCTAACATGGAAGACCCAAGAGCTAGTGAGCGCTGATGAATCATGATCAGATCAGTCTGTTGCCTAATTGTATGTGGCCACAGACATCTCTAGAGGGAGCTAGTGCTGTGAGCTGCAAAGACCCAACTGGAGTTATCTCCCCTTCTGTCCTTTGCCCTACACTGCTCAGGGCTTCCACCACCCATGACTGGCAGCCACGCCTTGCAGCTGCCCAGGGAGCTCAGTTCATTATAACCTATGCGCTAGCAACTCTGCTGTTGACAACTGTTGGCCATCAAGGAGGGGGATTTCCATCTAGAAGCTGACAACTTACTGAGTTGCCTCACCTTAAACCGGCTGCCCAGGTTGAAATGGCTGATTCTCCCAAAAGGACAGACAGCGTGCTAGGGTCTGTATGTCCCTGGAGCAAAGACTGAAAATGATTCTAGTGGCCAAATATCCCGTACTAGATCCCAACTTGTGAGAATGCTTCCACTGATGGACATCGGGCAGGAAGTATGTTCCCCACTTGGCCAGGCCAGAGCAAGGCAGGAGTTTCTATCTTGATAGATAAGCACTTGCATGATATTCTAGAGTTATGTCTACTGTCCTACAGAACCTAAAATATTTATAGAAAAAGGTTTCCAAACACAGGTCTAGAAGAAAAAATAAAGTAGCGAATATTTACAAACAGATTATCATAAAAATTTAACTTGCATCCATACATATTCTGTACAATGTCACCAAAATTAAATTTTGGTCCAAGTCTATTAAGAAGAATAAAAGTCTTATTCCAAGGACCAAAAATTTAAAACCTTGAGTCCATAAATGCTATGGAAAAATACCTTAATTACAATATCTGTTCAAAGAATTATGTATCTTCACTTAAAGCTGTCAACTATATTCATCCTAGATAGCTAAATTTGCTTATTGGTCTTATAGTATTTAACCTACTGACATTTTTGTGACTCTGTGTGTAAGAGATACTAGAGACTGAACTGCACACTAAGCTACATCATCAACCTTTTTCTTTTCTTTTCTTTTTTTTTTTTTTTTTTTTTTGAGCCAATGTCTTCCTAAACTGTTACATTGCTGAGTTTGAACTTCTGAGCCTCCTGTTTCAGTCTCTCAGATTATTAGGATTACAGGCTTGTGCCTCCATGCTTGATTCCACTGATCTTACACCAATTAACATGATCAGTAGCAGAAAATTGGTCAAGATTATCAATTCTGTTTTCCTCTTTCAACAGTTTAGATAAGTAAAAAGAAATTGAAGTTACAGAAGTTATAGAAACAAAATGCAGAATCTTGATTTTTATTTTTTTAACCACATAGGTTAGGAAGATACCTAAAAATACCATTTATCCTTCTTTCTTTCACCTTTTTTGAGACAGGGTCTTGCTGCACAGTTCAGGCTGGTCTTGAATGCCTGCCCAGCCCTCTATTTCTTTTACTGTGTTAAACTCTAGAGATGACTTCCTCTAAACCTTTGTAGAACTTGTTTTTTCATTTGCTTTGTATGTGTTTTTGCAGAACCAGGAATTAAACCCAGGGCCTTTTTAATGAGCAACGCCCCAGCCCTTTTTATTTTTCATTTATTTTATTTTATTTTGGTACTGGGGATCGAACTCATCATCTCGTGCTTGCCAGGCAGGCACTTAAGCCTCTGAGCTAACTCTTTGGCCCCCTTTTTATTTTTTATTTTGAGACAGGGTCTCACTAAATTGCCCAGCTTGGGTTTGAACTTGCAATATTCTTCTCTCAATCTCCCAGCGTGCTGGGATTACAGACATGCACTACCATACCTGGCTGTGGAGTATGTTTATTCTTTCAGCCTGTACTACTACTGGAAGAAAAAGAGTCCATGAGTTTTCCTCTCACTATATAAAATAACAATTATTTTCACTTGTCCTAAAATTCCTTTGATTTCATAACTACTACTATCCACAGGACCGCAGATTTGAGGAAGGGGTTAGTGGCCTTCCCATTCAAAATTTGATCTTGAATCCTAAATCTCCTTAGCTTCAGTGCCTTGTCTACGCTGGGACTCATTACTAGAAATGTACATCTCCATCCTCCTCTGACCCCCTAACTCACTGTATTCCCCCAGTCTTTGAATTCAGGATTCCTTGGCTTCTGCCTCAATTAAAGGTGAGAGGACCCGCAAGCCGACAGAGCTCTTTCACAAGGCCTATGACAAAGTGAAGCAACAGCCAGAATCCCTGGGAACACAGCCATGTATCTTACACTGAAATCAAACTAAGCCCCAGCCAATGGAGCAGGATTTAAGCCCTCACAAGTTAACTCCCTAAAACTATTTCCTTAGAAATCTGATAACGGTGGTGTGTTAGCTGGCAGCAGGCAATGCCACCTATACTAAACATGGCCTGTGACTGGCACACTGAATCTGAACTGGGACAATCCTGAAACTGATGTCTTCTGGGAGGACAGAGCTCCCAGGCCAGGGTGGCTCCCACACCCAACAGTGTGGATGTGATCTACTCACAACTCAGCTCCAGGACTATGCTGAAGTCCCTGAGGACACTGTCCTGCTGTTCCTGTTTTGATCTTCCTAAAGGGATCTCCAGCCAACTATCATCATATCGGTTTGAGCGTCTATCTCAAGGGTCAGCAAACCTTTTCTGTAAAAAGCAGCAATATTTTTAGGTTTTGAGACCCACTATGGCCACAACCATTCACTTCTGTTGCTGATACAGATAACCGCTGCAGATAATATGCAAGTGCATGACTGTGTCCCAGTACAACTTTATTTGGCCCAAAGGAAGTGGCTTCCCAGTTCATGGTCTAACTGAATATAAGGCTTCTGAGGCAAAGTAAATATTGCAATAAAGAGTTCACATGGATAAGAAAAATTGTTACAATAGTGGAAGTATGAGAAACTGGTTATAATCACTGTGATGCTTAGTTTGGTTATACTTTACCACTGAAATATAACCAATAACGTGGAACTTGAAGTTTGTAAATAGCCGATCAGTCCTTGCTTTTTTCCTTCTTTAATTTTTTTTTTTTTTTTAATATAAGGCATGGAACTCAGGACCTTGCACTTGCCAGGCAGGCTAAGGACTATATCCCCAGCTCCCGCTTCTTTAATGTTTTTAAAGACAGTGTCTGAATACGTAGCTCAGGCTGACCCCGTGACCCTGCTGCCCCAGTCTCCCAAGTGCTGAGATTACAGGTACGTGTCGTCACACCCAGCAGTTCTTGCTTTCTGCCAGCACAAACCAGGCAGGGCTTGCCGTCTTCAGCTCCCACAGGGCCCACACCTTCTATCTTGTCATATCCTCTTGGGTAATACTCATTTGTGGTAGGAAGAAAGGTACATTCTTAACCGGCTTTCTCCCCAAACGTCCCCAAAACAAAGCAAAGGGTACTCACTTGAATAGTAAATTAAGACCAAAGAGCGTAAACATGACAGCCATGTAGCCAACGATGCCAGTAGCATAGCTGATTTTATATATTAGCAGGAACCATTTATAAACCAACCTGGGGAAAGAAGACAATGTTAGTTCAGCTGACATGGAGACTCTAGCCTCAGGGGCTGCTGGACCACCAGAATTCCTTTTTCCCACATCAATGAGGACATCAGTCTCTGTGCTCAGGACTTGCTGAACAATTTCAGAAACTGTCCCAAGTTATTTACTTCTCTAATTGCAGAAACACCTTCAAGGAATTAATGCTTTGTATTTTCATGGTCTTAGACCACAAAGAAATTTCTATAAAGTTTTAGCCTCAAAACAAAGGGCATTGCTGACCTCAGAGAGCTATGTCCTCAATTCAGATTAACTGGTTGAGGAAGTAATAACTAATAATCCTCAGAAAAGAACAAGTGGGAATGAGCAGTTGTCCTTAGCAGGAAACAGAATTCAAGAGACAATGAATGAGATGAAATTAGCTACAGATTTTTGTATATGGCCCTCGCTAGTACAACTACAGCTCCTACCCCCTGGCCAATTATGAAAGATGGCATGAATGTGCTTCTGAAATGGCTTGTTTTTCCATTAGAGAAATGAGGAGGGAGGCACTCAGAAAGTACTTCTGAATTACATGTATCTGTGCCATGGTAGTGATGGTGGTGGTAGTAGAGGGGTGGAGTGGGGTTATTCATGCTCCTGAAGGATAAGCAGTGTTCCCCAACCCTCAGTAAAGAGCAGTGTGGAATCTGAGTGGGTGACGCCAACAACATTCAAGTAATAAACATGGTGTGCAGTGAACCAGAGCCTTGTAAATGCTATAGGTGTAGGCCCCTGATAACAGATGCAACTAGTCTATCTGTGATAAAGGCTAATGAGCACTTTATCAAATTGCTCAAATAACCAGCACAAGTTTGCCTGGTTCCTAAAAGCAGACTGGGTTCTGCCAACCCACATGCATCCCTGGAAGGAAGTGCAAGGTTCCTACGCCTCCCTGCCATGGCTAAGCAAGTAGTGATAGCTCCTTGGGTTTGTAGTGCCGCCCTGAAAGATGACTTGTGGTTCTGTTATCCACTTTGCACAGATCGGGAGGAAGAGACACACTAGGAAGGACATGCAATTGTAGGTCAGTCCTTTATTTAGATTAAGTGAGATTTTCTTTGCTGAGAAACCTCAGGTAAGCCAAGTCTTTTGAGACAAGTTTATTTCCTTGTAAAGTGGGAAAACCATGCTACCGTTTCTCACCTGGTACATGCCCATTAAGTGCTACACGAACAAACTAGGATGCTTATGAAAGTGCTTTGAAGCTGTAAAGCATTGACAAACTTCAGTCATTATTTTAAAAACCTTTCATATTATTGATACATTTTTTATCATTTTAGTTGGAAGCTTACACTGTTCCATACTTGGTGATTTCTAATGTGTTTTATTTTTCTTCTAACACCCTATGTGAGGTAAGCAGTTATCCCTTTTTTAGGGATATATTACTGAAAAGTGGTATTACAGAGCTAATAAGAAAATAGGGGGCAAGGGATATAGCTCAGTGGCACAGAGCCTTCTTGGCAAGCACAAGGTCCTGAATTCGATTCCTAGTAACAAAAAGAAGAAAAAGAAGAAGAAAAAGTAATAGGGTTAGGAGTTTTAGTCCACATCCATTTGGGCCCAGAGCCTATATCTTCCACAATGGGCCTATAAAAGAGCAAGACTTCTGGATCACCAGCTTCACCCTTTCTGATGATACTCAGAGGCCAGTGAAAGGCTTGCAGTGCAGCAGAACATAAGCAGCACAATTTGCAACTTAGAAGACTTTGGATCAGGTGGTCTCAGCTCGGAGGCTGGCTGCTCCTTTGCTAGGCACACCTGGTCCTCTTCCACTTTTACCAATGGCACTGCACCAGGTGCTTGCTGGTCCATCTCCTCCATTAAACCACATACTCCTTGAGGGAAGGGACCATGTCTTATCCAGCTCTATGTTGCCAGTGCTCAGCACACAGCCTAGCACAAAGCAGGTTCTGCTTACTGAATCAATGAACAAATAAAAAGAAAATCTCTCCTTTTTTCTGTCAATCACATTAAATGATCCCTCAAGCTTGTTGGGAAGATTAGAGAGAAATACATTTGGATAAAATACAAAGAATTATAAAAGCAAAAGTTTTTCTGTAACTAAGGAAGAAGTACTATTTACTTGAAAATTCTAAATTTGCTGAGATTCATTCATTCGACAGAATTCAAAGAATAGGCAACTGTGTGTCAGAACCTGCGACAAGGCCTGGAAATGGAGTGGCAAAAAAACATGTGGTTCCTGATCTCATAGTTAAGGTTAGTGGAGGAGGCAGAAATAATATTTGGTTATAAACTGTGGTAAGTTCTATGACGGAAGACTACAGAGCCTTATGAAAATTAATGGAAAAATCTAATTTAGAGATCAGAGTAAGATTCTCAGAAGAAAACGCTTAAAATAAGACTACAATGATCATCAGGATCTGCTTACTGACTTTGCTTTTAATATAGACAGACCCTGATGTTTACTATTACATGAATTGTAAGGAAATATCTGGGGTTTCTAACCTGTAAACAGGGGAGCTGGTCTCCCAATCTGCTTGCAGAGAGAGGGGCCCTACAACAAATAATATTGGAGGACAAAAACTATAGTTTCTTCCATCTAAACCCACCTTCCTCCCATGCACTCCAACACACGAGCTTCAAGCGAGTGGCCTCTTCCCTGCTGACTGAATGCTCACCTTGGGGTTGTCTGTACTAGAGGTTTCCGTGTGGCTCGGAAGGTGACGAAGGCTGTGACAGCAGAGAAGAAGATCCAGATCAATAGGAACCTCCACCAGCGCAGCTTCACTGTGAAATAGAGGGGAACAACCCACATCTGAAAGAGGGTCACCATCTGAAACACAAACACAAGCACTTCAGCTCTTGCCGGCTCCCTCTGCATGCTACCCACAAGTCCAGAAAGTTTCCTGCTTCTATTTCCATGTGACCTTCCCCTACATTTCTGATTCTGAATAAAGATAACTCCACGAGTGATCAAAGTTAGAAACTCCCTCAACTGCCTCTTGGCTATGTTCTTTGCTTTCTATCTGAGCTTGTTATCTCTTACCTGGCTACCTGGGACAACCTGCTGGTCTCTGGAGACCCTGCATCTGGAGAGACAGAGTGGAGGGAGCAGGAGCAGGAGCAGCAGCAGGCCACCTCTTACCACTATCCATGCCATTAGGTTCACTTGTCCTCTGGGGTAAAACATCCCCCTCACCTCCCTTCCTGCCTGACAGAATCACATCCAAGACACAGGCAGCCCTTAGGCTCCGCCCCAGTCAGACTCAGTCATGACCTCCTAAGCTCCAACAGCATTTTTTCTACCATCATTAGAGTGCTCATCCAGAATGAGGCTGAATGCTGGGCATGGCGGCACACACCTGTAATCCCAGGTTGAGACAGAAGGACTGCCAAGAGTTTGAGAATAGGATGGACTACATTGTAAGGCCAGCCTGAACTACACAGCAGAACCTGTCTCAAAACAAAAAGCAAAACCCCACCAAAACAGACTGAGACTGATTTTGAATTCATTGTCTATATAAATATAAGCTCCTAGAAGATGAGAACTTGGCTGCATTCATTCATTTCCTCTGCATCAGAAAACATATGGCATATAATAGTTCCTCAATAAATTAGATTAAGTAAATGGAGAGTAAGAATAAACTGGAATAATGTTCCCTAAGAGAAGTACTTTTCTTTCTTTCTTCCTCCTCCTATTCCTCCTCCTCCTCCTCCTTCTTCTTCTTCTTTTTTTTTTTTTTTTCTGGTGTTAAATTGAGACAGGCCCTGTTATGTAATTTGGCCTGGGCTTGAACTCACTATGTAGCCTAGGATGGTCTCGAATCTCAGTGATCCTCCTGCCTCAGCCTCCCAAGTGCTGGGATTAGAGGTATGTGTCAGTACATCCAGCCACATTTTTTTTGAAGGGTGCCTATTTTACTTATCCCTCATCAGCACCTTATTGTACATTTGATAGCTGAGATGTTACAGATGCAGATAATCATTTAATTCTATAATAGAAGTTTGGAATAACTAAGTATTCTGTTCTCCAGTGTCTCCCCCAACCACCAGCATTAGGTAAATGTCATTCTTCATAAATAAATAGTAGATGTAAAAAAAAGTTAGATAAAAATATTTTCTTTTTGATGTCACCAAACAAAATAAAAGAACATAAAACAAAAAAAATTTTTTTTTTGGCTTTTTGAGACAGGGTTTCTTATGCAGTTCAGGCTGGCCTTGAGTTCACTTTGTAGCTCTGGCTGGTTTCGAACTTTCTACGATCCTTCTGACTCAGCCTCCCGAGTGCAGGGATAACAGGCGTGCACCACCGCTCACTGCCATAAAACAATTTTTAAACTAGTTGTGTTGACACATGCCTGTAATTTCAGCATTTAGGAGGCTAAGGCAGGAGTATCACTGCAAATTCAAGATCAGCCTGGGCTACATCATGAGTTTAAGATCAGTCATAAGTACATAGTGAGACTCTTTCTCAAAACACCAAACCAAAACAAAACAACCCATAAAACAATTTTTTTAAAAAGAAGAGCTACAGAAAGGAAAAGAATAACTCGTAGTCTGACATTCCATTGTAGAGAAAACTGAAAGAATATGCGCCCCATCAGATTTTCAGATCAGTGCCGTCCAAGTGACTGTAAGGCACATGTGTGATTTTAATTTCTAGTAACCACATTTAAAAAAGCATAAAGAAACAGATGGTACTAATTTTAAGAATATATTCTATCCAGGTATCCTCACTTCAACACATACACAGTATTGTTTCTATTTCTTGTTTCTTGGTTTTGTTTTTTGAGACAGGGTTTCACTATGTAGCCCAGGCTGGCCTTGAACTTGAAACAATCCTCATGCCTCAGACTCCCATGTGCTGGGGTTACAGGGATGCACCACCATACCTGGCTCACAATGTTTTTAATTTTTTTTTTTTGATTGTGGGGAGTGAATCCAGGGCTCTGTGTATGCTAAATATGTGCTCTACTACTGAGTTATATACCCAACCCCAAAATTATTAATGAAATAATTCAGTTTTTTGTATTTTGACATCTGATGTGTTTTTCACATTTACAGCATATTTCAAGTATTCAATAGCCATATGTAAAAAGGAATTAAGACATGTTATATAGCTGGGCATGATGATACAGGCCTGTAATCCAGCACTAGGGAGGCTGAGGCAGGAGGATCATAGAGAGTTCAAGACCAGGCAGGGGCTACAAAGTGAGCGCAAGGCCAGCCTGAACTGCACAGCGAGACCCTGTCTCAAAAAGACAAACAAAGAGAAAACATGTTATGTACACGTACCAACTCCATACAAGGAATGTAAGCATATGTACTACAAATTCTTTTTAATTTTTTGATAGTAGATGTCTATTATTAAAAATACAAAAGAAGTTATTCTATATGTAAGTCTACCTTTACTTATTTGGTACCAGGGATCCCACTCATGACCCTGTGCTTGCCAGGCAGGCACTTGTGCTGCTGAGCTAACTCCTCAGCCCTTATCTTGATTTACTTAACATGGTCTTAAAGTATTTGCATTTTCCTATAAATGAATCAAATTTATCCTTCTTTATAGCAGAATAGTAAATACATTTTTTAATCCATTTATCTGTTGATGGATACACAATACCACAGCCAAGATTTAGCTATTATGAGCTGTGTTGCTATAACATGGGCATGCAGGTATCACTGTGGTATGATGTTTTTGACTCAGGAAGATAGCTAAAGAGGTACACCTGAGTCAATGGAACTTTTAATATTCTGAGGGATCTCCCCATACTGATTTACATAGTGGCTATACAAGAGAACATTCCCATCAACAATGTAGAAGGGTTCCTTTTTCCCTGTAGCCTCACTAGCATTTTTTATTATTCGATTTCTTTTTTTTTTTTTTTTTTTTTTTTTGTCCTTTTCCTTTTTATTGGTACCGGGGATCGAACTCACGACTGCCTGCTTGCAATGCAGGCACTTATGTTGCTGAACTAAATCCCCAGCCCCAATTATTCAATTTCTTGATAGTAATCATTCTTGCTGGGTTAGATGAAATTGTTTTGTTGTTGTTTCTTGAGATAGGATCTCATATGTAGTTCAGCCAAGCCTTGAACTTACTTTGTAGCCCAGGCTGGCCTTGAACTCAGAGTAATCCTCCTGCCTCAGCTTTCAGAGAGCTAGGATTACAGGTGTGTGCCACCACACTCAGCAAAATGGCATTTCAACACTTTTATTTGCTTTTCTCTGATGACTAGAGATGCTGAGTATTTTTCATATATTTATGAGTCATTTGCACTTCTTGTGAGAAGTGTCTAATCATATTATTTGACTGGGTCTTTTATTAGGGAGATCTGATTTTTTTTACTTGTTACATATTCTAGATATTAGTTCTCTGTTAGAGTAGTTGGTAGTTTTTTTTCTAATTCTATCTAAATTGTTTCTTTTTTTTTTTCGTTTTTATTGGTACCAGGGATCAAACTCACGACTGCCTGTCTGCAAGGCAGGCACTTATGCCACTGAGCTAAATCCCCAGCCCCTCTAAATTGTTTCTTCACCCTGTTATTTCCTATGTGTGCAGAGCTTTTAATTTATTGATTCTTGATGTTATTTCTTGTGGAACTGGGGTTCTATGTAGAACCCAGGCTTGCCTATAACTAAGTCTTCTAAAGTTTTACCTATTTTATACACCACTAAATTGTCTGTTTCAATATCTAGGTCTTTGATCCATTTTAATTTGATTTTGGTATGTGATGACAGGTGAGGATCTAGATTTATTTAATCTTCTATATGTGCACAGCCAGTTTTCTCAGCACCATGTGTCAAGGAAGCTATCCTTCATCCAGCTATGTTTTTGACCCCTCTGTCAAAAATCCAATTATTTAATATACCACAGGTTGTTTCTGCATCTTTTGTTCTGTTTCATTGATCCACACATCTGTTTTTGTGCCAGTACCATGGTGTTTTTATCACCGCAGCTTTGTAATAAAACTTGAGATCTGGGATTGGATAATTTGTCTGTTTCTGAGTCAGGGTCTTCATAGCCCAGGCTGGCCTTCAACTTCCAAATCCTGAGACTGCAACGTGCCACCACGCCCAGCTTGAAATCTGGGATTGTGATTCTTATTATGTTTCTGTTGCCCAGGATTACAATTGCTATTAGGTCTCTTCTAGTTCCATATAAATTTTAGGCTAACTTTTCCTAATTCTGTGAGGAATGCTGTTGGCAGTTTGATTGGGGTTCCATTAAAATCCATACATCAAAACCAGGTGTGGTGGCTCATGCCTATATTCCCAGCACACGGTAGGCTGAGGCAGGAGGATCATTACAAATTCGAGACCAGCCTAGGCCACAAAGTGAGCTCAAAGCTAGTCTGAACTGCATAGAGAGACCCTGTCTCAAAAAGACAAAAAAAAAAAAAAAGTTTAAAAATCCATGTTAGAGGGCTGGAGGTTTCGCTCAATGGCATTAGTGCTTGCCTTGCAAGCAGGCAGTCGTGAGTTCGATAAAAAGGAAAAAGACAAAAAAAAATCCATGTTAGTTCAGGAGTATGGCCATTTTGACAATACTGGCTTGGCCTATCCAGAAATAGAAGTCTTTCACTCCCTTTTTAGATTAATTCTTAAGTAATTTTGTGAGCCTATTGTGAAATTAAATTCAAGGCTGAACTACACAGCAAGACCCTGTCTCAAAAAAAGGGGAGTAAGAGTTATAGTAGTTTCTTTATAACATTCAATTTGTTCCTTCCAGGAAAAAAAACTATCTAAAAACACAAAATAAAGATTTGTGGCCACTTGCCTGTGTCCAGGCACTCACTATTAGGGAGTCTAGAAGGCCAAATTCCATACAGG